TTGCGTCAAACAAGCTGGTCTCGTTTCAAACGCAAAGAAGTGTCATTTTGTTGAGCGTCAAGCCCTTGTGCTTGGATATCTAGTCGACAGGGACGGTATACGACCAGACCCGTACAAAATCAGTGCTGTCCGAGACTTCAAGCAACCGACGTCTGTGAAGGATCTCCGTAGCTTCGTGGGCCTGTGTTCTTATTTTCGTCGGTTTATCAAAGACTTCGCCCAGCTTCCTCATCCCCTGACAGAGTTGCTCCGCAAAAACGCTCCATTCCGATGGACCGTTGAGTGTGAGGCTGCTTTCGAGCAGCTGAAGTATTTGCTTACTTCCGGGCCCCTCTTGCGCCATTTCGACCCGGAGGCACTCACGGAACTGTATACAGATGCAAGTGGTATCGGTGTTGGTGCCGTGCTAGTTCAGTATCACGACAGCCGCCAGCACGTCGTGGCGTATGCAAGTCGTACTTTCACTAAGACGGAGAGGAATTATACGGTCACCGAACTGGAATGTCTTGCAGTTGTTTTCGCCGTCTAAAAGTTCAGACCGTATTTGTACGGCCGGCAGTTCAAGATCGTCACAGATCATCATTCGCTTTGTTGGCTTGTCGGACTACGTGACCCAGCTGGTCGGTTGGCTCGCTGGGCCTTACGGCTTCAAGAATATAATTATTATGTGACTTACAAGAGCGGTCGATGTCACGCAGATGCCGACTGCTTATCTCGTCTTCCATCTCCGACTGTGGATGCTGATGATGATTTCGACAACTACCTGGCCGCAATCCAACTTCCCAAATTTGGACGTCTTCCGTCACGAGCAACAGCGTGACCCTTCGCTGAAACCAATGATTGATGTGGCTCGTAGCTCTAAACGCGCCACGCCATTCGTGATTCATGACGCCCTACTATATCGTAAGAATTACTCCAGCCATGGTTCCACACTACTCCTCGTCGTGCCAGAATGCCTGCGTCTTGCGGTATTCCAAGCCATGCACGATGACATCACGTCTGGGCACCTTGGATTTGCCCGAACGCTTCACCGTATACGACAACGTTTTTACTGGCCTCGACTCTAGAAGACCACCAAGCACTACGTCGCAAGTTGTGATGTCTGCCAACGCCACAAACAACCTACCACACCATTGGCCGGCCCACTGCAGCCGGTTAAGCCACCGACATCACCATTCGAAAACGTCGGTATAGATTTACTTGGCCCTTTCCCCAAGTCTACCACCGGCCGCCGCTGGATTATTGTGTGCGTAGATTACCTGACGCGGTATACTGAAACGATGGCGGTTGCTTCAGCCACATCATCTGATGTGTCATGGTTGCTTCTACACTCGATCATACCTCGTCACGGGGCCCCTCGTGTGGTGATAAGCGATCGCGGCCGACAGTTTACTGCTGACGTTGTCGAAGAGTTGCTACGGCTTTGCGGGTGTCAGTATCGCCATTTTACGCCATACCATCCTCAGACCAACGGCCTCACTGAGCGCACCAATCGTACCATCATCAACATGCGTTCAATGTACGTCGCAGCGGATCACAAGAACTGGGATGCCGTATTACCTTTTCTTACATACGCCTTTAATACCACGAAACACGAAGTCACGGGTTATACGCCTTTCTTTCTTCTCTATGCTCGTCATCCCCAAAGTTTCCTTGACACCATGCTTCCATTTTCGACGAACGAAAACGCCAGTGTCGCGCAGACATTGTGTCGCGCCGAAGAAGCTCGTCTACTTGCTCGGCTCCGAACTCTTACCGCCCACGCTCGCGCGAAAGACTGTTACGACGCAAAACACCCGCCCGTGACTTTCGCTACAGGTGATTTGGTTTGGCTGTGGGCGCCTGTTCGAAAGAAGGGACTTTGCCAGATGTTTCTCTCTAAGTACTCAGGACCATTCGTCATTACTCAGTGCTTAAGTGACATCACTTACGCTGTTGCGAAAGTGACAGCTCAGAACCGGCGTTCGCGCGAGCCGCGAATTGTGTACATTGCCCGATTGAAGCCCTACAACAACCGATTGCTTCTCGCTCGGTAAGCTTCGTCTGGCCCGGAGGAAAATGTAACGCGGACTGAAAGAGCGAGAAAGAAGAGGAAATCGGACGCTTTCGAGCGATGATGATTCGGCAGTGACGGTAGATCGCTGACATTTTTCAGTGTAAATAAACCCATCACATCCGTAACAATATATTCCTCACATAGAAGCACCGCCATCCAGCGGACATTCCAAGGACTGAACGAGAGGAGGCACACACACATTTTCTTACGGCTAGCGCTTCGTGTCTACTTCCCACCTTTAACCACCTCGAGTTCATTGTATATACTAGTTCGCTGTATTTATGGCACTACGGCCCAACTCTCGCTAAACCTTTCTAAAACCTAGGAGGTTACTCCCAGCGAGTATAACGTGGCAACCCTTTCTTGTCTTCTGTGCGTTGTTGAACAATAAAAAATTCGCAGCGTGCGCGTTAACTAAAAGCCGAATGCTCCTGTATCTCTTTCCCCGTTAGCAGCCATTGGCATGTACATTGAGCACTATCGTTTGTTGTTCAACAACGCACAGAAGAAATATCTCACCGGCACCACCTTGGAGGCTAAAATGTTACACTTGTTACACGCTACTACAACGGCTACGAGGGACGAACGGGTGCCGCTATAAAAAGCTTCGCCCCTAAAATGTGGCCGCTGCGGCCGGGATTCGATCTCGCGACCTGCGGGTGAGCAATCGAGTGCCACAACCATTGTACCACCTTGGCGGGTAGTAAGCCAGGCGGTACGTATCCATTTTGGAAAACGGTGCGAAGTGGACACGAACAAGAATGCACACAGGACCAGTGATTATTGCAAGGTTTATTGAAAGGGGAAATCTGGGGGATAGTGAACATATCTGTCTTTTGGCGGCGCACAAATCCGTAAGTAATCTTTTATGACTTAACAATGATGTGCTGCTGTACGTAGGCGCCACCAGGATATTTCATCCGTATTATGTTCCCCTTCGCCGAGCTTTCCTTTACAATATATATGTCACTGTGGTTTATCAACTAGTGTGGTCACGCGTACGTCTTTACTATAGAATTCTGACACATATATTTAATTATATACAAGCAGTGCACATTAGTGCAGCTGGTTGTCCATAATGTTATTGCGTTGTTACCGATGATGAATGTGTCAATGATACGTGGTACCCTCTTACAAGGTAGCGCGTGCACTTCTTCACTGCTGTTGCCTGCCTTACCACTTGTATACACCGGCTAACGTAATACTGCTGCTGGTATCGTCACCTTTCTTCGGTAAGAGAGTAGCCTCGTTGCTGATGGGACTTCAAGAAGAGTATGGTAGAGGAATAGTTGGTAAGATTGGAAAAATATAAGAGTACGCCTACATGCAGGGCACAAGAAGAAAGATGGGGACAGCACCACTGCAGGTCCCGTTCACGCGCTAGTACCATCCACATCTTTTTGTGTCTTGTATGTAGGCGTATTTTTCTGTTTTCCATGGCTGATGTGACATAAGCGCAATAATTAATTGATCAAATTTTGGTGGTTTGCAATATAGTCCTTGAATCAATGGATAAAAACTTTGGGACTCCCCCCCTCCTCTCCTAAATTTTTGTTAAGTTTTGCTTGCATATATATACATGCACAGGTACAAACGCATGCACATACATAAAGAATGGTTAAACACCTCGTCCCCTTGAAAACTTTGTTGGCCACGCTTCTGCGTTCAATAGTTGTGTGAAAACGAGATCACCCGTAGGGCACCAACGGGAATGGGGAAAAGATGAGAACACTCTCTCAAACAAACTTCTGAAACCAAATGGGTTATATTTTCACACGCAAGCTCAGCAAGCACAATATTCCAAAGCCGCATATATATCGGACATATGCACTGCAACATACAAAACATTATGCTTCTATTTGACGCCATCACCGGTACTGCACAGGTTTCGATCGCCGTGTACAGCGTCACTCATAGTGAAGTTTGCGAAGGTCATACACTAAGCTTAAACTGCTCTACTAAGACGCAATAGCGCAAGGAGCCCCATTACGATTTCGCTGTATAGGAACTCCTGTTTCCCAATGCCACTTACTCTCAGTGATATCGGTGCTTTAGTTTCTTTGTGTGCCAGGCGTGGTACACCAGTGTTGACGCTAAACCAAAGCATAAATATATACAGCACAGTGTCTAGCACCTTGCGACACATCACCGGACCGGCTGCTCAAAAGTTATTTCGTGCGAAGGCTGATGAGCATAACGCTGCTTTCACAGCCTTGGCGAGCGTTACGTGCCGATACCGCAAGTGCATGGCCTCTTCCTAGAATTCATTTTTAAGGTCACTGCAAGGAGTCTTCGTCAAAGAGATTTTGTCAAGATTAAGAGATTAAGACTATCGGCATCATTTTTTAGAGATCTACCACCACCACCTGAATACAGGTGGTTACGAATCCGCTCCGGCCAAAGTTAACGCCCACTTGAACATAATCTGTGAAATTTATGCTGTAACGGTGTCGTATCTGTGTGTTGCACGCCATGTGCATACATGTACTGTCTCATATGCATGCACACTTACGACGGTGACTAAACGGTAAAACGGCGTTTGCGAGCTGTACGCATGGTCTCGCTGAAATGTCTCTCACATACACCACCAAACATGACGTATACAGTCTCTATACAGGGGTGAGGAACTGGTGCTGCCAGGTGGTTTCGTGTCCGCAATCACAGTTCCAACGTTGATGCCACGGATGTTAAGAAGCACCACGCCGCAATGGCGAAATGTTCGAGGATCAATGAAAGATATCGGCTCTGTAAAAGCACGCACGCGTAACATATACAACATTCACCATGCATGCGTTAATTGGGCGATTCTAGGCAGCAATCACAGTCTTTGGCATGGCACAGCTGGCGTGTGACTCTTCCGTGAAATTCACGAAGGGGCCTCTGTAATATGAAGTGTCGATCGTGGGTTGAAGGCCTTCTAGATTGTTCAAGGAGACGGCTAGCATAATACGAAAGTTTGTTGATGTGCAGTCATCGTTCTAGCTACACCACTGCCTATACACATCAGAGATTTGTAGCAAGTTGCTTCATTGCAAGCGCCCTTCACGCATTAACACATTCAACGACAGGGCACTGTACTTCAAGGTGGCCACTCCAGGTCCCTGCCAATAATGTTGTACAGGCGCTGATTGTGCGGTGTGTAGAAATCGCGTAGCCGCCTCTCGAGGACGGGATCGATCTTGGGGTGAGGGCGGCCCTTGGAAGGGTCCAGACAGTGGGGCGTCGCGCCAGGCTCCCGAAGGAGGCAGGGGAAGCCCTTGGTGCTGTTGAAAACGAGATGCCGGGCCCCGACCCAGGGCGGCCTGAGGCCCAGGAAGCGCTGAAGCGAGGCCAGTTCTCGCTCGGGCTGTGCCACCAGCCTCTCGCCGCTGACGAAGTGGAAGCTGGAGCGGGGGAAGTACTCTAGCCAGCGAGACACGTGCTCATCGTACAGGCCGACTCGAACCAGCGGCTTGCTTCGGTCAACCTGAAGCGAGACAACGAATGTTATCCACTTTAAGCGACCTCATGAATACTGCTTCTGATACGCTACCAGTGCTATGTCCTATGCGATGACGGCTACTCGCACAGATCAATGTTGACCTGGACTCTGAGCGGCTACCTGATGGCACTTAAGTTTTCCTGTCACAATTTTGCGCAAGTGTATCTGTACGCATATCCCGAATCTTGCTGAGCCACGCCGACAGACATATATTAACCTTTACCTGTTACACAAGGGGCACTTCAAGCGTCGTGAACTAAGGGACATACAGTGGTAAAACATTCATACCAGGTTACACAATGAAATGTATTGTATCATTTTTGTGGCAAGCTTCCCTTGCGGAAAGGCTGCTTAACGTGACTTGAGCTCTGCAAGGGCTCAATGCTCTCTAGAGACCCGGGTGCCAACGTGAATGAGCCTTGTGCGCACAAATATACTATCACAGAAAAATTTCTAGTCTACGTAATAATTGACTTAAGATTGAATGAACACAGTGAATAACCAATGTCAGCCAACAACAGCGATGAGCGAGCCAATATTTATCTTCATTTAGCACTTATTTAGCAACACTTGTGGAACGTTCGGCTGCTCGTTTTCTAGTGATCCTTAGGCCCCGAAAAATTGATGTAAAATAGCAAATAAGCATTCTGAAACAATGGGGCCATTTCATGATAAGAATGGCAAAACGCTTGTTCTCGGTATAAAGCTTTAAAGCTGTCGAATCTGCCACTTTCAAACACAGTCATCGCGTCATCAGACTACCACCCAAATGTGCCAATAGTGAAGATTAGCCACTGAACATAGGCGTCGCCAGGATCCTGAGTCGGTGAGTGCACGGCCGAGTTGCATTTCGTAAAGGGTAAGGGTGGAAGTCTGGCAGAGAGAGGCGGTCGCTTACCCTTTTGACAACTCTCTTCCGATGCCCATACCAAGAAATGAGCTACATTGACAACCTAAGTTATAGTACTTCTAGCCCATTTGAGCTAACACAATCCAACACTAGTCAGTAGTAACCTGTTCTACTTGATGTGTTTTAGTAATTAGATTAGTTCAACCAATGAGGATAAAACAGGGTCGTACATATTGCACCGTTGCACAATCAGTGGGCAAGAGCTATGCCAAGGTAGGTTTTTGAACAACAGCTTTTAGCGTGTCCGGTATTCGACTATGCGCATTTGGGTTTACGGAATATCGCATTATGGTATCGACCTCTTGGGACACCTTCTGAAACCACAATTAAAAACGCGTTTGTTCGTGTTAGCCTAGTGCCGTTGAGGAAGTACCGAAACTTTCGAAAGACATCTCATTCGATAAATTAGGCCACTTCCAAGCATTTATACTGCCAGCGGAGGGCAATGCGTCATGAGCGAAGTGAACCGGAGATGGGGGATGTTCAAGCAACCCTTAATTTGGCTCCATTTTGGGAGGGGGGTCGAACCACCTGAAATTTTTTTCAATTTTGATTACGTATATTACACGCACATATCACGAACATACATTAAGTATTGTTGAGCCCCCCCCCCCCCCCCAAAGAAAAAAAAGCCTGGCTACGTACGCCCCTGCCATGCTCTCGGTTTCTGCAGTACCAGTTGTATGCTCGTCTGATTTACTTCGGCCCATCCAGACAGCACCGCCTATCCCCCTGGCGTCTTGCGTTCACATCTACGGTATGCGGTAAAGCTACACGCTTACGCAAAAAACTTTGTGGACCAAATCGGTGTGTAATGAAGAGATCACAACGAACAGCCAGTGCACCCACCATTCCGGTGCGGTTGTCGGTGACCGAGTGCAGGAAGGAGCGCCTGGCGCGTCCCTTGGCCGCGGCCTGCGTGTAGTCGGAGACGGCCCGCGTCACCGGATCCCGCAGCACCAGCACCAGCTTCACCGAGGGCGACATGGCGCGCACCCTGGCGGGAACCCGCTCTCGCACCAGGTAGCTCGGCGTCTTCTCCATGGTCAGCTGACCGCGCACGCTCTCCGGCATCTGAGAGCTGCGAGAGAACACTTCGCTCACCGATCGTGTCTCGCCTGGTTGCTGCCAACACATCACCGACTGTAGCCGCCTACGCCTTCGTTATGCCGTGGTCATAGGCGTGAGCACGGAGGGGGTGCATAGTCTATAGTTATCTCAGAAAGGGTGAGGTGTGCCGAATGTACTTCATACTTGGACTCAATAGGAAGGGGGGTGCTGTGACATACCTTCACCTCCCCCTGGACACGCTTATGCCCATGAATGTTTCGTTAGCTAGAGGTTTCTACCAACATTGGCATGGTATTACGTTCGTACACGAAGAACATGAATAATTCATGAATAGCACTTGTACCAGACTATAATACATCATGCAAACAAGACCAGTGGCGTGGCCACAGGGTGGCACAGCGGGCAGGTCGCCCTCCCGAAATTTCTTTCTCCCACGAAAGACAGAATGCAAAGTAACAACCGACCACATTCGCCTGCCCTGCCCCTACTTCAGATCAAGGACGTGCGTTCATCGAAACAGATTTCGGCTTACGCCAATGCACGTGCATGACGTCGTCGTAATTCCTTAGCTACCGTTTCGTTACTTGCTGCAGGTAGTAATTTGTGACGCATGAAGTGCATGTATGACCGATACATAAAAGGGTGGCGTAATGAACAGTCACGTGTTCATGTTCATTCGCGCACAAATATGTCGTCTGTGTCACGGCAGGAATGACAAAAATGACAAGATTCATTCATCCTGCAACCACCGTGGTCATTTTATTAAAGACGTACTACACCCCCAATGCGACCGCGTGCATGGCAAACGTGGGCCAATTAATGACTTATGTTACGACATGAATTACACTATATGACATGGTGTAAATGGCAAAATATTATTGCAGTTATCGCTTAGCTGCAATGCAAAAAATACCTTAACGTTAGCCAACATTAACAAATCCTCTACATATCTACGTCGTTTCTGCACAAGAAGAAAAATTGCTATCAGAAAAGGCGTCAGGTAAGGGAATTTAAACCCTCCAATGGTATTCACTGCAAATGATTAGGCTGGCAAGACACAGGAATAGATATGAACAAAGATTATCATGGCATTAAAGTTTAAAGATGACACTGAGGAATAATGGCCAGAAACTGCAACAAACGATTAAACAGATCCACCGGAAAGAAATAGTTCAGTAGGGCTTAAAGGGGCCCTGCAAAACTCTTTCTAGTAACTTACGAATGGTTGAGAAGAACGTTTATTAAACGAAAAAAAATAATGAAGAGTGGTTAAGGAAGCAAGGAGGTGGGGCCCTTAGTCCAGTGCTCCACTGGTGTCAGCAGCCCGACGCGCCGAGCGCCACTTGGACCTCCTTTTCCTCGCTGGCGTGCGAGGAAAAGGAGGTCCAAGTGGCAATCTTCGCGAGCATCAGCGCTTCATATCAGCCTCTGGTGTTGCTAAAACACATTTCCAGCTGACATCGTTGTGCAGTGAAAAACTGGTTATATAAACATCTGCAACTATTCAACATGTGTCTCTGCGTGCAACATTTGTACATATATTTAGCATCATTTCATGACGTGTCGCTCAAAAAAAAAAAAATGTAACATGGTCACCTTCCCTCCGCGTGCTTCGCATAAAGTTGATTCTCAGGTACGTGGGATCTGCCGAATTTTTTCTTCCCTTTTTCTTTTTTTGCCGTTGGTCTTCGGCATTACCGGAGCTATCTCGGAGGCATCGGTTTTGCCTTTCGTCGTACACTGACAAAGTCGACACGCATGCATCCCCATTTGCAGTATACACACACGGAAGACAACCGTCAACAGAGCATTCGAACATGCCTAATAAAACATTTCAATGCACAGGAAGCAACTGCAAGCAACCGCAAGCAAGAATGCAACTGCAAAGCGAAAATCACCAGGGTCTATCGCACCGGATAAAGTGAGCTTCGTACCACTGATCGCATAGATTGTTCGTGTATGCACTTAGTTTAGTGCTTGCATTGAACTCGATGTCATGGAATGCTCACATACACTTAAATTGCTTGGTGCAGAATGCCGAAATAAATTAAACATATTTTGCATTCCGCCCGCGCTTCGTTCTGATGAGCTTCCTACTTTTATGAAGTGAGCTTGGATTGAAGGAAGAAGCTTGCAAGGTCCTTAATTTTCAAAAAAACCGTGCCTCAAGACCAAAAAAAGAGGAAAACCAATGCACGTTCGCTTGCGGACGGCTCTCTGTGCACTACCCAATTATGGCCAGTGCGGCAACGGGGGCGTTGGTGGCGGTGTTTTTCGCAGCGCCGCCTGGGCAGTGTGACGTCTATATAAGTGCACTGATGCTTTCGAATTTCACACTTCTGTCGATATGCGATGGCTGCGGCCTGCAAGCGAACCCGCGGCGTCCTCTGGCCCACAGCCTTGGCCGTTGAGCTGCTATACGTTGTCTCCTTATATAGGGATCATGTCGTTCACGCAGTAAACACATACACGCGGCAGCAGTGGTGGGGCTATGGGGGTTCTCTTGTGACGTAATAGATACAGGCTTGGGGCATAAGTGCGTGAATCCATCGCGAAGGCACCCCCGCCCGGTGACGCAGACGTTCTCTCCGTGTGTAGCAGTTTATTGCTAGATCCCATCTCCGTACCGTGTCAGCTCGCATTTAGGTCGTCTTTAAGGTGCACCCCGAACCACTGTAAACCCAATCGCTAGCCCAGCGGTTTCTTAACTGCCTTCGCTTCACTGGACGCGATATGGATGTCTTCCTCTACACTGGCGCACTGCCTTATTTAAAAGACGCGAGGGCTACACTTCAGTAGCTTACACGTAGGCAGGATTTTGTCTCGAGAGATAAACCCTCGTTGCATCGCGGTGGCGGGCTTCCAGTGGCCCTTTTGGCACCTCTCTGCCTACGCATATGCGAATCAGTCTATAGGGATGGTGAGGTAGCACGCGCGGCTACGTGGAAAATCGGGGCAGTAGATGCGACACTAGTGATACCTCTCCTACATCAACCAATCTACAGTTGGTATCTTGGTGATGTCAGGTGCATTGTCACTTTTAGCGAGGAAGCAAGCATGGGTTACATTTAATTATCCGACACGGCTCATTGAAAACTTTGAAATATGTTTTTCATATCATCATGATTTACTATATTTTTGTGGTGAATCTCAGCCGTATAGATCAACATATATCATTCTAATGTATACCAGTAGAGAATGAAGGAGATGGATGGTGGTATAGGGGACGTTAACAGTACTGTTTTTAAGTGCATTATAGTTGTTGTGATATAGATGTGAACACAGTAACATGGAGCAAAAGATGACTTGCTGCCGGCAGGGAGCGAACCTGCGACCTTCTGACGTTCGGTCTTCTTACATATGTTCGTATTCTTTAGCGCAGAACTAAAGGTGCTGCGTTTTGCAACTTGCCCCGCCATGGTGGTCTAGTAGCTATGGTACTCGGTTGGTGACCCGCAGGTCACGGAATTGAATTCCGGCTGCGGCGGCTGCATTTTCGATGGAGGTGAAAATGCTTTAGGTCCGTGTGCTCAAATTTGGGTGCACTTTAAAGAGCCCCAGGTGGTCGAAATTTCCGGAGCCCTCCACTACGGCGTCTCTCATAATCATACGGCAGTTTTTGGGATGTTAAACCTCACATTGGTAATGTATGAACTATGTTTGTTATCGTTTTTATTTGTCATTGTTTTTCATGTTACGCAAAAATTGTATGTATTTCAAGATGTCTTCATAGTGCTGATAACGTCTTGTATTTATCGCTAAGGAACGTTTTTTTTAATATTTAACCGATATTCTCCCGCTTGTTGAAGTGCCAATCGTGTTGTTATAATTTGTATGTATAATCTTGAATATTTCTATGTACTGCTTTGCTGTACCTGCCTGAGGTGCCTCACGAAGAGCGGTCCCAGCGAGGAGACGCTCTCTTTTTTTGCCCCCTTCGTGGGCATTTTTTGTGAAAAATGCCCAAATAAATAAATAAATAATAAAATATCAAGCAATGCAATTTGCAACTTCTTCGGTAATTTTGCTCCTGTGCTTCAATGATTCCACGGGGCTGCACATGTCTCAGTCGATGCGGTATACTTTTCCTCCGAGGGCCTCTCGGGGGCGCCGAGTTCTTCACGTGCGCATACAATAACATTTCCTCGCCCACATCCAGCAGCGCCGCAGGCGCGACGATCGACGAACCGCAGGCCTGCGGCTCGCCTTCCCTGCGTTTCGGCATGGCTCGAACTCAAGGTATACGCTGGACCGCTGAGTGCTTTTCCTGTACAAGCTGGCACTGAAAATACGTCTTTTTTTTTTCTCGAGTGGGTGCCACCAATGAGCGTTAAAGTGGCAACTTTAGCGCTAATTTCGTGACGACGCGTATGCACTGGCACTACGCCGTCGCAAAATAAAGGATGACCTGAGATTTTCACAGTGAGTGGGCTGTAACTTGGGCTGTAATGGTAATGAAGGTAGTGGTAATATAGCAGTGGTTGCATAGCAGAGGTTCGAGTGGGAGGCTTCCCGGCGGGCTGTGCTCGTAGGAAGCTTTGCAGGTGTCGTGCCAGTTGTCCCGTGATTATATAAAGCAGTCGCGAGCTTTGAGTTGGGCGTAGCCTAGGCGCCGCGGAGTCGCTACAAGCGCCTCAGTATGTCTACAGCTCCAACTGATTTTCGCAAACATTGGAATAGGTCTATACCGTACGCAGGGACGCCGATTTGCAGTATAGCATGTGCACTCAGCGTGTTGCAATGTGCAAGAGGCTTATCGCGCTGTTCTATCGACCGTGAGCCGAGCAACGGGCTGGGATCCAGCTTTCTGCGGGTGACATCAGATCGCAAGGGCGGACCTGGCACAAAGCTGACGAAGTCTTCGGTCAGTGCCGCCAGAAAGTTGCAAACGGCGTGGCTTTATTTCGGTATACGACCTCGTGACACGCTCTTCTTCGCCTACCACGCTGCGTTCCCATCGCAGTGTATACATTGAATTCGCGGCCAGACCATGGAAGCCAGCTGAAATAT